ACTTTGAAGGCTCCCAGCTCAAAAACTTCCTAGTTATCCATGCATTAATATTTCATATTAAAATATAAACTTCTTATGCATTATTTTCTCTGGTAACCTATTTTATATTTTAAATGTTCACAGTATATGGTGCAGTATGTAAACAAAAATTTACTGGTGTCAACTATGATTATATTTTAAAATATTTTATAGAAATTTAAAAATGTATGTCCAAGACAGAAGTACTAATCATCTTGTTTTAACACTTATTAACAATTATTTGCAGTTCTTTTTTAAAGAATTTTTTAATTAGATAGATTTATCAAATATGTTTGTCAAAGAGAAAGTCATTGTGTTACCTCATTATCTTTATGACTAGCACTCATTTGGATGTCAGACAGTGGTATGTGCTTATTGTTCTTATTTTGACCAAAACAATTCATGTATTACAATTCATTTCCAAAAAATTCAAAAGTAACATAGGAATCAAGATATTTTAATAGCAGCACTTTTAGTTTCCTTATCATTGTGTACAAATGATATAAAAATAATAAACAAGACTGAGAGCAAAAAGTAGGGTATCGTAGACAACTATATGAAATAAACAGAAAATCAATTATTAAAGATTTTCTAAGTGAGAGTTTACCTCAATTGGTAGAATCTTTATATTATGGTTACTAAGTTTCTTTCACTTTTGTTTGATTCCTTATTATTTAAAAAAGTAGTACTTAAAAAAAAAAACACAGGACATGGCATGATATCTAAAGTTCAAATACTTTCATTCCTTTTCTGTCTCCCCTCCTTCCTAAAAAACTGACTAACTACAACTGAACTGAAACTGTTTTCAAGACTTTTTTTTTTGTTGCAAAAGCTCCAAATTCATTCAGCATTTGTTTAGTCCTGATTGGTATTCTAATAAGTGTGTTAATAATTCAAAGGACAACTGTTTAGTATGTTACAACTTTTAAATACTATTTTCTTTAGATAGCTGAAATTTCTAAAACAGCAAATAAATATAATTGTTTTAGTCTTTGTCCACTCAACAAGAAATAACTTAGCCTCAAAATTTCAAGATATCTAAAATCAACCATGCTACTGGACAATCTGACATTAAAGATAAGGTTTTAAAAGGCGCAGTTAGGATGATGATAACATATCAACTTGAATACTTCTATTTTTGTTTGTTTTAGTATCGTTACAAATCATAATAGATTTATATCTAATATATATTCTAGCTTCTCATTTAAATCAGAACACTACTTCTACCAAGAAGGATGATGTGTGATCAAATTACATGGTGATATTTAATTAAACAAATTTATTACAGAGGAAGACATATTGCCATTAATCCTCCACAAAATAATCTCCTCACTTCAAATATACTTAATTCTATTGTTCTTGCCACTTTCAAGTTCTGGAAGTCCTCTTTTGTATCTTTTCAAGATGTGATAAAAAATAAGGTGAATTCTACCACTGAGGGCAATCCAATGGAAGTGCATGCTCGTGCAAACAGTACAATGTGTTCTCATTCACTTTATTCACTAGAGCTGGCACCATGAGACTTTTGGCTCTTCCCCAAAGTCAAAAATGATCATGAAAGATAAACATTTTGAAGTGACTAAGGACACAGAGGCAGTCAAGACAGTGCTACTAATGATACAAAAGAAAGAGGACTTCTAGAACTGATGTAGAAAATTGCAGGAACTATGGGATAAGTGTGTTCAAAGTTAAGGGTGAATTTTCTGAGGATTAATGGCATTTTTTTTTTAAACATAGTAAGTTTTGAAAAAAGTAAACATTCACTGCATTTTTAGATCACAGGCCACAGTACTTATTCTGGCCTCTTTATAAGGAAATTCTTGAGCAATCTTTAGATTTTTTTTTTTTAAATGAACATTTCACAAAGAAGGTGAAAATCACTTAGAAATTTGGAAGGCGAGGTCTTCTCTATTTTACAAATTTGGTGTATTACTTACAAAGGAGCCATCAACTACATGGAGTAGCATTTGCCTCCATTATCAGCCAGATATACTTACAAATTATCTCATTTTGTATACCTTATGGTAGGCTCATTTTTGAGCAAGTCTTATATTTTCATCTTACAAATGCCACAGAAGATAGTGATGTACAATCAGTAAAGCCAACATTAGGGGTTGGTGACAAGACTTTATTTACTCAGCAGTGGATGTAAGTGAAGATGATATAAATGTAAAACAAGATATTGAGCCATAGAAGATTTGGCTATCTCCATAGTGATGCTATAAAATTTTCTACTTTATAGTAGTCCCATCAAGAGGCTTCCGTATGTAAAATTAAAATACAAAATATTTCTTGATATTTTAATTATCAAGATTTATAACTCTAAAATTTTGTGGAATATTTACTAATTTAAGATTAAATATAAAAAAGCTCACAGAATGTTATTACTGTGTAAAATTTCATGAGTTTAGATTCCTTAATCAGTTCTTCATTTTATTGGTTTACATAAATTAAATAGAAATACCACCTATGGAGATCACAGAAATGTGGCACTAAGTGGAACAGAGATATCCTACAAAAAATGAGAGAGAGAGAGAGAGAGAGAGAGAGGGAGAGAGAGAGAGAGAGAGGAGAGAGAGAGAGGAGAGAGAGAGAGGAGAGAGACAGACAGAGAGAGGAGAGAAACATACTTTGTGACAAATAAGGCCCAGATATCACAATGGAAAAAACAAACCTAGATGATGCCAGAGTTCATTTAAGAGTTGAGTGCTATTGAAGAAATGCCACAGCATACACAATCCCCGCAAAAGCCAGTTCCACATTCCGACCTGAAAGCCCTCCTATGTACATGCTATCACAGAGAAAGTAATACCCTGATGGACGCTGTAGGCTGTGATTGGAGATGATGCCAATGGTTGACTTCTTTTATACTCTCATGGGGAATGGAGAATTGCCTGGATGAAGTGGCAGAAAGAAATGTGTTATATATCTTTATACTAGGAGTCACAATCCTGGGGAAACTAGACCTATAGAAAACATAATTATAAAATGATATAACTTCCTTTTTGAAAAGTCCTTGGTATCATAGTAGTTCATCTGCCTTGTAATGTTTTGCATCTCCACACTCTATTTCAAAAAGAAATTAACTCTTCATTTTTATTATAGTAAAACACCATCATCTCTAATAATGCCATCATTTCAGGAAAGGAGACATGATCCATTGTATACATTCTTTTAAAGAATTGTTGTGAGTCTACATCTTCCATGGGTAACTGTTTACCCACTGCATTTTATGTTGCTTACTGATCCTTTGCCAAATCTTATTAAGATGACAGTGAAATTGTATCAAACACATGACAAGAATAAGTTTATGCTAAACCATTCACCTATTCAAGTACAATCTGATGATTAAAATACAAAAATGATAATATAAATAAAGAAATTTGGCCCTTAGAATTTGTTATAGAAGGATCAGTCCTATAATTGGCAGTTTTCAACATTTTGTATTATTTTAATGGCACTTTTCCTGAACTCTGTAAATCTATATACACTTTTCAAATTGTATATATATTTTTATTTTCTATTTATTTTTAAAGTATGTTATTAGTATAATGTGTTTTGTGAACAGAATTAAGGTTTCTCTCCTTAAATAAAAATGGGAAGTTAATGCTTCATAATATCAGTTTTAGGAGAAAAAAATCTGTGTTACAACTTACAATATAAATATGAAAGAAGGTGGTTATTATTCTCTTGCCCCAAGAGAGTGCACTCTTAAGACTATGGATTTGGTCACACTATTTCTTTCAAAGCTTTTTCTTAAAAGTTGAAAAGTTGAAGTCTAAACGATAATGTTCTGTCTTTGGCTCTGCATGTTCTGTGTGGCATTTTAGATAGTAGCCTCTTTCTGTTTTTTTTTTTTTTCTTGGCACGACTTTCTGAGGACATTATTTGTGTGATCACAATTAAACTGACCTTATAGCAGTCATATAAAGTAAGTATGTATAGCAATATGTTATGTTGTAAAGGAAAGACTGAGATTGTAAACAAAATTCATAGGCTATTTAAATCTTTCTATTATTAGTCATATTTTAAGGTACGTATAGTCTTTTCTCTCAGCTACTTAAACTTTGGAAAGTAGACTTAACAGAGTAGATATTTAAAGTCTGTCAATAATATTTTAATAATTCTGCTTTATAAAAATAAGAAAATTCATTTACACTGCAGTTTAATACAATAGGAGTAAGAAAGTAAACACCTTAAGAATCAAAGAACACAGGCCAAATTTCATGTTAATTTTTGTTTTTTTTTTTTGTTTTTTTGAGACAGGGTCTTACTATGTAGTTGAGACTGACCTGGAACTCACTATATAGCCCAGGCTGGTCTCGAACTCACAGTGATCCTCCTGTCTCAGCCTCCCGACTGCTGGGATTACAGGTGTGAGCCACCATGCCTGGCGTCATGCTAAATATTTTATTGAAAAATGATTTTTGTGATTGACAAACTTCTGGACTACATGAACCTTAAGAAAATACAAGTGTCAAGGAAACTATTTAAGTAGACTAGTTTTTTTAAAAAGGAAATGAACCACCTAGAGAGCAGACTATTTACATTTAACTTTTGTTTTTTACTTTTTAACATGGAAGCTCTCCTATATCTTTAATGGGAAAAGGTCATCACTAATTTCATGCAAATCTTCAGCTATCAGACTGACATATATGGGTGTACAAAGTAAAATTTGTCTTTAGCCAATATGAGTTTAATAATAATATGGTTCAAAGAAATACTTATAGAATAAGGTAGTAGTAACAAGTGAGTTGGCTATAATGTAGTGACCGCCAAAAAAAGTTATCCAGCAACAGTTTCATTATAAAAATACAGAATTTTCCCAATAACATAGGTGATGTTTTCCCTTTGGTACCCTCATCCCTTTCAGCCAAGTGCAAAGTGCAAGGCAAAATAAATTAAGGCAAAAGGAAAATAAAATAAAAATGGTGAGTGCGAGCATGTTGCTGACCATGTAAGAAAACACGTGCAAATTATACCTCAGATACACTATAGGTAGATGAGCACGAGGGAAGCCGAGCCTGGTTTTGCAGAAGGGAAAAGAAAACACTGTTAAAGAGGAAATGATAGAATAGTAAGGGTCTCAGAAGGATTAGATGGCTCCATCACCAACACTTTTGCCAGATAATACAACAGCCTTACAAGTGAATGCTTGAGTGTGAAAACATCTCAAGGTCCAAGTTATTAGTAGGATAATCCTGTGATTTAAAAAAAAAATACCTTGCTAAAAAGAAAAAAAAAATTCTATGATGGAGGAGATGACGCCTTCTGATCAGGCAGATTTTGGTATAATCTTCCTGAGAAGATGCTCATTTAGGGGGAAGCAGGATGCTAGACAGTTTTTCTTCAGTTTTTAGTAATGTTCACTGATTTAGCATTCAGCAATTAAAGGTGAGGTTGCTTAAAACTCTATTGTACATCTTCATTGTTAGTCTCTGAAGAAGGGACCAAAGACAGCTCAGTATTCTGATTTCCTGGTCTTACTATTCTAGTATTACTGAATGCCTTCTGACCCTTTAGGGTTCTCATTCTTTTCATATGTATGCCCATATCAACACCATAAAAATATAAAAACTTAAAAGTAAAACTCTTCTTCACTTATTTTTTATCAGAATGTTTTATCTTTTTTCATTGTTTTTTTGACAACTATTTTATCACTGATTTTAAAAGTTATTTGATATTTGTAACCATATTTAACCTTATGGTTTTACACTTACCTAACTACCCTCCTTTCCTTCCTTTTTTTTTTGGATGTACTCTTCCTGTGTTGCCAGTCTGGCCTTGAATTCCCAGGCCCAAGTGATCCTCCTGCCCTCAGGCTCCCAAGTAGCTGAGATTTCTGAAGCAGCCACCATGGTATGCCATCTGTTATGATTTTGAATTTGTAATTTTCTGGCCTATTCTTACCTTCTAGGTTATCATACTGCCATGTTCAATTATGTGGCCTCTTTTTCTATTATGTTTCTCAATGTCATGTGAGCTAAAATTATTAAGTATGCATTCTTCAGTTAAACATTCTGCAATGAAGTTTCTGAATGCAAAACGAATTAGAGAAGATGATGAAGTAGGAATCAGAGACAGCTTTGTCCCTTTACTGTATTTCTAGCACTAGCACAGCAGAATGTAGTAGGTGATCAATAAGTGTTTACTGAATGAATACTCTATTCCACATTTCAAAAAACTAAACTGATCAATATGTAGAATTTTTAAAGCTTACTATCACAAACATTTGTGATAAAACAATCATGCCACCTATTATTTTGAGGTAGTTCCCAAAACATAATCAATTCTATTCAGTAAGAAACATTAAGTTAAACCATACATATCAGATTTTCCTTAGCAAGATGACATTTCTAAGATAATATTGCTGTGCCTGTTTGTTCTGTGCAAAACAATATGGAATTTTTTTTGTTTTCTCTTTTCTATTACTAAGTAAACTGTCTTACCAAGGATATATTTCATTAGTACCTTATTTTTTGTATTAAAGTCACTTTTGAGGACAATTCCATAATGAGCATTAAACATCTCACAGATGTGACATTTCCATTTCAAATGTTGCCTTAAACTATTGTAGGTTATTTTATAAATATTTGATGACAACTTTTTTTGGTTTGAGGCATAGGATAAGAGAATGTTCTTACTTTTTAGTGTTTTTATTAGTACATGTTTATAATACAGAATATGATGTTCATTTGGTGAAACTGGTACATGCATCGATCATTTTCAATGAATTTTCCTTTTTAATAAGTAGAACTGAAACTTCAAAACTGTATTAAGTTTCTACATAAAGGGAATACTAATAAAGTAAAAAGTAGCAAACAGCCTGCTTTCCAAAGAGATAATGCTAAAATTGATTTATTATCATCTGTATCATTATTTTTTCACTGCTACCTTTTTATTTATTCTAAAAAAGTTTTTATTAGCACGTTTGCCATATCACATTCACCATAGGGAATTTGTACCCGAGATAATATATCTTGTTTTTTCCCCATTTTCCTCCCCTCCTTTCAACCCTTCTTCCCCTTCCCATTTACAAAAGCTTTGCTTCCATTTTTTCCCTTTCATTTTCTTTTTTTAAAAAATACCCTTTTACCTTCCTTCCCTCTCATCCCCTTTCCCTTTCCCATTTGAACAAGTTCTTACTTCCCAATATCTATCGTCCATTTTGTTCCTCATTTACTCTTTGGGTTTCTCACACAAGTGAAACAATGTGATATTTAAGCTTGTGTGTCTGATTTATTTCACTTAAAGTTATAGTCTCAAGACATATCCATTTACTTAAAAATGTCTTAAGTTTATCTTTCTTTATGGTACAGAAGTACTCCATTGTGTACTGATACTACATTTTCTTTATCCGTTTATCTGTTGATGGGCATATAGGCTGTTTCCAAGATTTAGCTATTTTAAATTGTACTGCTATAAACATGGGTATGCATTTATCACTACAGTATTATGCTCTTAACTCTTTCGGGAAGATACCTAGACGGGGAATAACTGGTCAAATAGAACCTCTAGCTTTAGTTTTCTGAGCAATCTCCATACTTATGTCCACAGTGGTGGTACCAATTTATACTCCTACCAACAGTGGAGAAGGGCACCTTTTTCTCCACAGCCTTGTCAGCATTTGTTATTTGTTGATTTCTTGATGATAGCCATTCTTTCTGGAGATGGAATCTCAATGTTGTTTTAATTTGCATTTCTTAAATGACCAATATCATCTACTTCACTAATGTAATGTGGTTATATTTATAGGACATCATTTGCCAACATATTCAGGATGTTACATAGTTATTATAAATGGAATTGTAAATAAATGCATATTATTAGTATTAGTGAAAATATAAAAAGTGAAAATTTAGAGGGCTCAAAGAATGTTCAACAGAGGAGAACTAAAATACAATGAAATCTGCCTAAAGAAATTTGATTATAAACAGATGTTTTGTTATCTAAAGGCTACTGATTGTTTACTCATTTAAATACTAATGTTCCATCTGTTTATTCTGCTCAAAATTGGCTGATTGAATACAAGTAACTTTTAGCATTTTCAGCTCTGTGAATTAAAATATGATAATTTTTTATTGTCTCTGAGTATCTTTCTCAATTGTATAAAACTTAATATAGAAGGTGTAAGATTTTAGGTGAAGTCAAGTAGGCAATTTAGCAGAAACCAAAAGTTGATCATGGGCTGCAGGGGAAATACCTTTATTAAAATGCGATGAAGTAACAAATTGAAAAATACACTATAGACAGTGAAAAACACTCTAAAATCTAAATTTTTTAAAAAAAAGTTGAGAAGAGGAATAATGGGGTTTATCTTTATTCTTTTAGAGAAGAGGAATTTATAAGCTATATTATGTATGACAGTTCTGTATTTGAAGGCTTAATGATAACTCTGGGTTTACTTCTTGTGTATGTATGACTGTGGGAGAGGGTGGTATATGAAGAGAGAAGAGAAAAATGTAAAAAGAAATCATAAAAATATAAAGGTAGAACATCTCAGGGGAACAGCTTTTCCAAACACACACATTCATGAAGAATAGTGTGAAACCATTTCCAGAAAAAAAGCAGGTCTTTTTTTTCTGAAGTTTTAAAGTGATATTTCAGACTGTATTATGACTATTTCTACATCAATTTTATCTTGATGCAATAGCCAGCAATACTAGAGCTAGGCAAACTTTTCATGTAAAAAATCAGAGAGCAAATATTTTAGGCCCTGCAGGCCATACAATCTCTTCTTCAACTATTCAACTGTCGTAACTCTAAAGCAACTGTAGATTACATACAAATAAATGAATGTATCTATATTTCAATAAAACTTTATTTTTGGACCCTGAAAAATTTGAGTGTCTTAGAATGTTTTAAGGGCCACAGAATGTTCTTTTGAATTTTTTCTTCTACTATTTAAAAATGCAACAGTCAATTTTAGCTTGTGGTCCTATAAAAAGTGGAATTTCACTCACAGGATGATTTGTCAACCTATGAGTTATAGAACTCATTCAATGAATATAAATGTGCAAAAGGTCCAGAGGTAATAAATACTTATTCATCAAAAATATATGAAAGCAATTCAGAACTATAGCTAAAATATTGAAAATGCTCATCTTAAAAAAAAAATCTAAAAATCCATTCCTCTAATTCATTAGTTTTATTTCATACTAGCTCTATTTTGATATTCAGGAAAACTGCTAAATGCTTGAAAATCACTATCCAGAAGGGTATTGTTTTCTGACTTAATTCTGATACTTTTTAAATATTTATAAAAAATATGGTCTGAGGTGATAACCTTGCCCCTTGATTATTTTTCACTTCAAATATAATTCCTTTATTTGTGTTAGCAGAACAAGTACTTATTGATAATTATTATATTTCTTTCATTATCTTTCATCTTGGTTTCAGGTATATGCCAGTAATCTGTTTTCATAAGCTATGTTCCTTTTTCTTTAATTTGCTAAAGCCTTTAAAAATTAATACATCTGGTTAGCTAGAACCTATGTCTATATATTTGAAGCTGAAAAGAAATTTATTATCAGAAGACATATGCCATTTGGATAAAAGTTTAAAATGTTGTCTGTGAATACTTTTACTTTTTTCTTAATATGTCTTTATGTCCATTTATTCATTTTTTCTGATTAATTTAATATTGAGGCTCTCCTTGGCCACACTGCTCTTTAATCAAGTAACTTCTTTATAAATTTATCTTAATTTACATTATCTAAACAAATAATTAGTTGGCATTATTTTATCCTATGTTTTTCTATTCTTAACACTATTTACACTAGTCTTCAATCTTTTTTCTTCTTCTCCTTCTCCTTCTTCTTCCTATGTAGTCTACGCTGGCCTGGAATTCACTATGTAGCTCAGGCTGGCCTTAAGCTTATGATACCCCTGCTTCAGTCTTTCAAATGTTGAGATTATAGGCATGAATCAGCACACTTGAGTTTATCTTCAATTTTGTGTATTATTTTTAATATTGTCCCTATTATGTGCATACATTTGATAAGGTAGAAAATTAATTTCTTCTATATGGGTTTATTATTTTGAAGTTATTCTCAACAGCATCAATCTTAGAATTTGCAGTAAGATTTCAGTTATTAAATTAAACAAATTCTGCTTAGGTATTATTAAAATAATTATATCCTTATTAAATTTTCTGAAAACCATTTAGGGTTCAGAGTACTCCTGTTTTTGTACAATGTAAAGAAAAAATGATGCATTGCTAATTTAAAATCAAGAGTCAGATATATCCTGCTTTTTGCTATAAAAAGAGTTAATGTAGGATGAATAATGTTGTCATATGAGAAATAAATAAAATCCAAAATTATTCTGAAAATTTCAGTGCTCATGCATCAAAAGAATGCAGGGTTCTTCCCTTTGTAAAAAAATAACACTGTGTATGCATCATACCAATTGAAGCATCTATGATTTAATTAAATCCTTATCCTACAGTTCTGAGTGATGTGTCACTTTAACTATTTATTTCATACCATGGTTCTGAATGTTTCACTTACTGAAATATTCAGCAGTGTTTCAATGAATTAAAAGGTACCTGCATTGTTGTTTGTGTGAGCAATTGCTCACACAAAAGAGAAAAGTAAATACATTTCACAAAACAGAATGGTGACTGCCAATTTACTTCACTTTAGAAAGAAAACTGATTTAATTTAGCCTGTAGTTCTGAGGATAACCTTTTCTTTTAAGCAACATTTTTATTTTTATTTATTTTTTGAGATTGGGTCTTGCCCTATTTCCTATGCTGGACGTGAACACCTGGGCTCAAACAGTTCTGTCTCAGCCTCTTAAGTAGCCGAATTCCACAAATGTACCTCCATGCTAGATTTTCAATGATTTCTAGTATACAAGGTATATTTTAAATATATTTGAGTAGTAGAAATTAAAGGGGAAATACAAAAACTGAACACATGTAATTGATTTTGATTTGCATATTTTTTCATCTGAATTCTCTAGAAAAGATACCATTTGCCTTTTTATACTTAGTTTTCTATCTGGTAGTTAATAAATTCTTAGAATGATACAACCCATATTTAATCTTTTTAGAAAAAAGGAAATCAAAAGAAAGTATTTCAGAGTGAAATGATATTGAGATTAGTCACTATATAGCTGTATAGGTGTTGAAAAATAGAAATTAAAGAGGCAGGAAATAATCCAATTTTAAGGCACCTGACTTCTTAAATGGAAAAAAATCACCTTTCATGAATGGGTAGGGAACAGTGTAACACTAAAACATATATATGATAATAGTTTTTATGAGTTTCAGGATAATATTCGTGTATTTTGGACTGGTTTAGTTATAAAATTCAGACTCTTTTTTTATTAGATAGTGTAATAGATTATGGGGGCTAATTATGCAAGATCTTTCCAAATTTGTTAAGAATATACAGAGAAAAGAAACACTGGCTCAAAGAAAGCAGCAAAGAAATGAGGTACTTGTATTAATTTATTTCTGTGTTTAGCTATCAGAATTTAATAACTGATATTAATGAAAACACTGAATTTTAGTAGTTAGAAATTTAATAAGCAGATAATTATGCCTATAAATGGAACAAAATTAAAAATAAGCCAAGATATCACAGAATCATCAAATCTCTTTTAAGTTTTATGACAAAAGTATTATAGCAGTAAAAATAAAATGAATGGCAATAACTTTGGGAGAAGTAAACCAGGAGTTGGACTTAAAAGAATTCTTTAGATGCTCCAGGAATAGGAGGCCAAGGTTAAATAACAAATTATTTACTTAAATAATTTAATTTTCTTCTGTCATATTTATATGATATACTACTTTGGAGATTTTACTCCCACGTTTTTCTTGAAAATATATAATTAGAACCTAAAAGTCTGAATTGTCACAATACTGCTATTAGTGCTGCCTATACAATGTATGTAAAATATTGCATGAATATAAGGTATTGTTTTTCTTTAAAGGCTATCTTGAGTATATAAGCCTTCAGTTCAAGTATATGTAAGATGCTATATGAAGGTGTTCCTGGTAAAGATGCTTGCTATTATTATTTTCTTTTAAGCACAATATGACAATTATTTAAAAAGAATCTGAATGAAGCTAATTCTAATAACTCAGAATAAACATGTCTACTTGCCTGATTATCTATGATGATCTGTGCTACAAATCATTTTCCTTGACAATGAAAATTGAATCATCAAGGCTCTGCTCCTTGGGTTCAGTCTGTAATTTATAATCTTGCGAAAACATCCAACAAAGGACAAAAAAATAAAGTCAATGGAAAAACCCTAAACATAAATCTCACACAAATTATACTATTATGTAAGAAATACTGATTTTGAAAAGAAAGCTTTTATTTTGCATTGGAGTCAAAATGTTATTAGGTCTACTTCAATATTAGTATGGCTAAAAGGTTTTCTATACTACCAATTTAATTTTTATTTCATAAATGAGAGCATGAAGCTGCAGCTAGAAAAGAAAGAGGGGGGAAGAGACAGAAAGTAAAAAAGATGGAGATGAGAGGACAAACCAGTCATATTTGGAATTACCAGTCATCAGAAGTTTAAGAAAAAAAAATCACCAAGAAAAATCGTACATTTACTCTGAGAGAGTATCCTTTCACATTGCCTTCTAGATGATCTCTGAGCTCCTCCAGCTTTCGATGGAGCTACATGTAAACATCAGAAAATGAATTGAAAAGGCAACTTGTTCTCTTTTCAATTTTCCTTTTAAAAATAAGATCATAGCATTATACATTTTTCACTGCCTTTGGCAAACATTTTAAAACATCAAAAATCACTGTATAATATAAGAATACAAGCTTAAACTTGTGACTAGGAGGCTATTATATTTTGTTTAGTCACAATATCTTTTCTCCCCAAAGCAACAAAATACTACAACTGTCCTTATAATGCCATAGAGAATCACTTTAAATTTTTCTGTTTGGTAGAAATATGAAAGTCAAAATATTTAAAGATTATGAAATTTGTTTTTCCCAATCACACATTTTGATTTAAGGTTGCACCTATATTCAAATAAGCTGATTTGAACTGTGAAATGTATCTTTTATTTTTAAACACATGTGTATACTCATAATCATATTGTACACTTAATAATAAATTCATTTATACTTTGAAGTTCTGTAATCCAAAAGCTAATTTTTTTTTTTGATATGGGGTCTTGTAATGTAGTCCAGGCTTGACTTGAACTCAAAGCAATCCTCAGCCTCTCAAGTGCTGGAATTACAGGTGTGCGCCACCATACCCGCAGGTCAAAAGCTGACTTTAGAGATAACTGCACACACTAGCACACACCCACACATACACACACTTGCACATACAAACCAGTTTATAGCAGAAAGTTCTGGCAGTTATAGATGCCAGTTTTTATCTTTAGTTCTCTATCAGTAATTTTAAAAAATGGTGTATTGCACCTTTTCACTTCAATCTGTGTCATAATCCATACTTTTTTTGTTTGTTTGTTTGTTTGTTTTTGGTACCGGGGATTGAACTTGGGTCCTTGCGCTTGCAAGGCAGGCCACCGAACCGCTGAGCTAAATCCCCAGCCCATAATCCATAGTTTTAAATAATAATGAATTTATTTTTTCTTAAAGTCAAAGGTAAAACATGATATCTCACAAGTAGTGAGGAATGCTACCGATATATAACATTTTCCTGACTGACTAATTTTAAATTGCTTACTTTTAAAAATAGGCATATAATGAATACTTTCCATTCCCTCTAATTATTCTTAGTGAAGTAACATTTTAATATAATAGCTATCCACTATGAAGCAGTGTTAAAGAACATAGAGGATGGCTTTTCTGGAATTAAAACACAAACACACACCTTCACCCATGTGCACTTATGTGTGCATACACAAATAAATAAATAAGTAAATGACAAAAAAGTAAAACTAAGAAGGCAGAAGAGGCAAGGAGAGGAAAGAGTATAGAAATTTGTATCTCATAAATTAAATGGAAATAAGTTGGAGGTGTGTAAAATTTTGAAATGAAGCAATATTAGGCCTCAAGGTAGTTACTGAATTTAGGATATCCTAGTGCACTGCATCATCTGGCACTCTGATTAACAGTTACAATTACTGTAAGGACAAATGTGATAGAGATATAAACATTTCTAATTTTGTGGGATGTTCTGCATATTTTTTGAGTGCAGCAATTTTCTAACTTACATTTATGGTGGCAGCGTAAGTGATCAATGACTATGTCTGTGTTTCTTACAGGTGATAATGATGACCTTTTCCCTTTCATTGTGATTAAATGTTAGAGCAGTGAATGCCCAAGATATACTAACCAAGTAGTAGTTAAGCACTAGAAAATGGGACCATCAAGTCAGAAATCTTTAAATTGCACCTTAGCAGACTATATGCACAAATGGGAGAACATTTAGATATCTCTTTATCTAGCTACACCAATTTTTTAAACTTTAAAAGTAAAACAAAGGTGATTAATAGTGCTTAAACACTATTAGCTCTGTGTGGGACCATTATACTAGCATCATATAAAATTCCTTTATAGTTCTTAAGATTACATGTATACAATACATGTTATTAACACATATTTTTTTCTGGAATGAACTATAACAGGTAATGACACTAATGTAACATTTACATTTTTTAAACAAAAATTAAAAGGGGAAGTAACAATCTGAAAATATATTAGTTCTCTGAGAAAAAGGCTCTTAACACACAATCAGCGACATCAATCAGAGGAACGGTTTACTCTAGAACCCCAAATTATAGGCACCTATGATGAGGCAGTTGCCCTTTCTCTTGTTTGTGGTGCCATTCAAAGCTAGTTATTTGGCAGCTTGCCTTCAGCTGGTTGCTCTATGTGTAGCTGAAACAGAAAAATAATATGACCCAACAGCCAATAAAAATATTAAAATAAAAAAATGGGATGGTGAAAAATGGAAAAAGGCCCCTTCCTCCCACCACCCTCCAAAAAGGAAGAAATGTAGGCTATAGACGAAATCTTGCCAAAAAAACGTTAGAAACATATTTACTTTGAGGGATCCAACTCTACTAGCAACTCCTTTGCTTTCATCCGGCCGTCTAATTTGCTACAATGAGGGAAGATGGGTAAAAAAGACAGAATAAAGAAAAAGTGAACTTAAAAAAATTTCTACACATTATTAAGTAATACATGCAAAAACATCAATTGAATCGTTCAGGTACCTCTTAGGAGGCTGAGTTAACTAACCCAGAGGTCATATGACATGCTCTGCAAATAGGCTGGTCACTAGAATTTGGTTTTTATTATGGCACTATTCCTGATAGGAGGAAATTGGCACTTACTTTTAGTTATCTTGGGGACTCCTGATGAAGCAGTATCTGGAGTAGTGTTACATTTGCATTTGGCTTACAGAGAGAAAGAATTACAAATACACCTGTGCAGCTTTTCTCTTTCAGTGTTTGCATCTATCCCATTGTACTATCAGAAAATATCAATGCTATGACTAGAAACATGTGTTCTTTAAGAGGCAAGATTAATCCTGACAAGCATCATTCTTGATATGTGACAATGAAGCTCCTCTGCTTGCTGTCAAAGCACTGAGGTTGTTCAACTGTCACTGAGATTCCCAACTAAACAACTGTGCTGCCCAACCAGAAAATTTTAATGCCAGACCAATGCTAGATGTTTTATTCCTTCAAAGTTTTCTACTGTTTCAAATAAATTTTCCTTCCTGGTAAGATAGGCAAAAAGTAAAATTTTAAATCACTTGCCTGATATCACCAAATGAGTAAAGGAAGATTCTAAACACAAAGTCTCTTGTGAGATGAAGTGCTTTTTAAAAAATGGTGCTCTAAAAATAATCAATGTTTTTTAAAGACAGATAATTCCTATATTTATAGAATGAACCTCTTAGTTCAGGCTAGCATAGGTCATGTTAGCTGTGATAATCCTCTTTTGGGAGATACTAGAATTATTAGTGTGATGCCAAATACTTAGGGTCAGTTATCCTCAGCATTTATTACCAGGATGTGGCCTATAAATGACTGCCATTTACACTTCCCTTTTTAAAAAGAGAGATTCCAGAAATACCATGCAATTAAGAAGCTGCCTGGATCATAATCTAGTATGTGGTATTGATCCCCTTTCCTTTAGTAGAATTTTCCATTTTTGTAAAACAATTTCTACTGTTAACAAGGTAGCTGCACTAAGATAGGCTCCTATACACTGGATGCAAACATTCATATTTCAGTTAAAAGATGTTTGGTGAAAAAATGTTTTAAAAAAGATTAAAATTTTGTTTGTTATAAGATAAGGAAATTGAGGTCTAGAGAGGCTTGCTGGCTTTTTGAACATATCAATTAAGAATAGTAAAGATGGGATTAAATTCTCTTGAAGTTCTTTTCATTAAACTTAGGGTCTTACAGCCTGGAATGATGGTGCACACCTGCAATCCCAGCACTCTGGGAGGCTGAGGCAGGAGGATTGCAAGTTCAGGCTCAGTGTGAGCAATTTAGTTGGACATTTGTCTCAAAAAAAAAGTGTTGGGGATGTAGCTCAGTGTGAAGGCCTTGGGGTCAATCCCCAGTAAAATGCACACACACACACACACACACACACACACACACACACACACACCCCATATGCAAATGCATGCTTTAGGCTTTTACCTGTGCAATGACTAATATAGATCTCTCAATGACAATAATTTATAATAATTTAGATTAAGTTTATATCAATAAACTGACATTTCTGTTTTCTTGCCCTAAGGATTGAACAATCTTATTTTAGAACTGTCTACCTTACTTTCACATTTATCCTGAGAGATTCATATTTTTAGCCCTATTACATTATCACTTTTAAAAATTATAACTATCAATGACATGAAATAAATTTTTGCTTATAAAATTTTTCTTCCAATGAATATCACTCAGTATACATTGGTGTAGCTATATTTTTCTGGGAGCTATAATTTAAAGATTAAAAAAATATTTTGCTTAAGAGTTCAACATTTAGGGCTGAGGATGTAGCTCAGTGGTAGAGCGCTTGCTTTGTATGTACGAGGCTCTGGGTTAGATGCCCAGAACCACCAAAATGGGGGAAGCAGGAGGGATGAAGGAAGAAAGGGGACATATTCTTGGGATCTGATGAATGTCTTGCTTTTGTTATTCAGCCCTTTCAATAAAACTAGTGCCTCATTGTAAGACAATAGTTTCTTTACTGATTAATTAAGACAAATAAAAAAAAGAAATGGAAAGTCTAACAGTGATAGTTATGTAAATGTGTCAAGGAAAAATAATTACATCAGTATTTCTGGAGGAAAGGCAATATGATTATAAAACTAAACAAATGAAAGGATAAAAATGATTAAGGACAGTTATAAAGAGTAATGAAAAAATGAGAAGTCAAAAATTAGAATCTTAGTAGCAATTTGTAGATTCTTCATCCTCTCCCCACCTCATGTATTTTTATCACTAAGATTTTGTTTTAAAAAAAGTATTTCTCATGGTTTACTATTATTTGCAACAATTCATTTATATCTTATTATAAATTTGTAATTTTAATCCTTTAGTTTTATGATAGTCTTGATCCAAGATAAAAGAGACATATAAACAAGTTATTTCTTACCTTCTAGCCAGAAATAATTCATCTTACATTTCCCTAATTTTTACATCTGAAAAGATATTATACAGTCCATCTGTTATGGAATAAAGGAGTTGTTAGGCACCTTAAAATAGATAAGTATTAGCTAGTACATCATATGTTCTTAAGAAGTTTTCATTGGTTATTTGTGTATGAGACAGAAAAAAGTTTGCCTATATTTGAACTTACTTGAAATGACATAATTTTCTCTTCACTAGAATTAAGAATAGAATGGTTTAGTATGGATACAAAAAAGCTCTGGTATAAATATAGTAATAAAAAACTCCACTTGGTTTCATAAAGACTTGCTACAAATCTTAAAATTAGGCAAAACAGGCATCCATGTCAGTGCCTGGTACATCTAAAAACAAATCAAAACAAACAAAAATATGTTTTCCTCTTTTAAAACAATGTATATTGTAAAATAACCTGTGATTCTATCCCTATGCAGGTTTTTACTATATTTTTAAACTATTTTACTTTGAGTATATGTTATTATATTTCTCCATAACATTAAATATTAGTAAACATTATTTGTAAGATTATAGAATAATTTATATATATGCATATCATAAGTTATTTAACCACATACATTAAGAACATTTCTAATTTTTCAAAATTAGTCTTTGATGGGTCTCTGAAAATTTCTTTAGTCAGGTTTCTAGAAACAAGATGGGTAATGAAAATACAAACGTTAAGGTTCTCTCTGTGGGGATGCAATATAAAAACATACATTTCAAGCAAATGTACTTTATCCCCTTTGCTTGAAAAGTTATATAAGTTAATTAATATTACTATTATTGTGGACAGGAATACTCATGTTACTATTCAATATAGAATCGACGATTATAGCTTTAAAATAACTATCAATTCAATTGCAACATTTGTGTTACTTTTTAGATTTTTAGCTGGAGCATTTTTGTTTCACATATACCTTGTTGCATGTATTTCTTTTATGAAATACCTCTTCCTGTCCTTTAATCTTCCCATTGTTGTTTCCAACAAGATTAGAACTTTTTAAGGCTAGGAACTGACATATTTGTTGTAAATATTTTATTTTCACATTAGCTCCACAAAAAGCTGCTGAAGGGTTGACTTAGTAATTCTACACTTGATGTATCTCCAACACAGAGATACATCTACACTAAAAAATATTCACTGAATGAATTTCTGAATTAATCTGCATTTTCTCCGTAGTGAAAGTCAAATGTATAGGAAAAGCTGATAATCCTGAAATTTTGGGTCAGAAAATATCTGATTAAATTTACACTATATATCATTTAAAAATATAAAGCATCACAGAACAGTTTAGTTCGAGATATATTGTATTAAAGTCATCAATGAGATGAAAAGTTAATTATACAGATTTGAATCCTGACGGTATCTAATTAATTTTGCTGATGAAATAATGGGACGTCATTAAGTGTTTAAAATCATTAAAAATTACAGGAATCAAACCTATTTAATTATACTGACAGGATTCCTAATTTCACTATTTCTTGTATTTCTATAGTTCACATACCTATCTTCCTCCAAGTTGACAAAATTCATTTGTATGCCATGAGAAATCAATACCCCATTTAGCAAACAAGACTGACCTAAATGAGAAAGATCTTGTTATATTTGCAGTTGAAAATCTCAACTATGTAAAAATGTAAAAGTTGAAAGAAATAAATATAGTTTTCTATATTAATTGGAAATTAGGCTATCTGAGAAGGGCTAAAAAGGGTAACAATATATACTCAGCTGGGATAGCAACTGCACCAAAGGAATAAGTCTGGGAGGGACTTTACAGGGTATTTCATTTAGTACCCTGATGTTACAAATACAGAAAACAAGCTTTATCAGTTTCCATAAAATGGCAGGACTCAGGCTTAATATTTAGTTTCTCATAATGTATTAATTTTGAATTCTCATTGTTGCCCGCTCTTCAAAGGATTTTCAGTTCTTATTTTTAAAAATGCCTGCCAATAAATCCTTTAAATACAAATGCTAAAAACGGCTTCTTCCTATATGTCATTAAATTGAATTCATAAGGATGTAAAAATGATTCATTACTGGTATCCATGTAAATTATAAGAATCAAGGGCCTAAAAGTCCTGGGTATTTTAATAAAGAATTAATACAAGTTATCCAGTTTAATTAAGAGAGTATCCCCAAAATATTAAACTTATAGGAGATTTTCTAGAGTACTGTTTATCAAACTGGAAAATAAAAAACAACAAAAATATCTTAAATAGGGTCTGGAGAAAATACTATGCTGCATATATAAATCAGAATATAAAACAATAATTGAAATAATTTTGTAGAAGATAATTTAAAACATGTAAAGATATTTGTGACAGAAAAATGTTCATATTAGTAAGTAAACAAGATAAAGATCTTATAGACGATTTAATAATGATAGCCAACATTCATTGATTACCTGTAAATTAAATACCATGCTAAGTGATTTATATGTAGTTT